CCTGTCATTGGAGGTGTTCAAGAAGAGGCTGAATAAGAATTAGTCAGGGGTGATCTAGGAGCAGGCTACGTCTGAAGTGTTCTGTAAAGAGCAACAGAGGAGAAGCATCTCCCCACTGACATACACATTACTGGGAGATAATGAAAAGAGCTCTGCACCCTGAAGCTGGTGCATATTGGAGAGGACCGTACTCAGCAGCAGGAGAATGAAGCTGAGCTCTATAAGCTGAAAGAAGATCAAAGGACCTGGAATAAGATTTATGAAGTGTATATAGAAAGGGGAGTTCTGTCTGTCCAGTAAGAGGGCATAAAAGGTAGAATCATGTGGACAGGTAGCAGAGGTGTTCAGTATTTCCCTTGTTTCTGAGCTTTTCTGGTTGCCACATAGAGCCAGGAAGGAATTTTCTTCCCCTCCTGTTGCTACCTCTGGTGTGAGAGGGGCTAGGAGGGAAGGGACTTGCCTTCCTCAGAAGCACTGGTTATTGGATACAGCCAAGGCCGGGGATTTTGACTGGAGCGTGCCAATGATTCTGCTGGGAGTAAACTCAGAGGTTCCTGGCTAGAGAGTCTCAGCCCTTTGCTCAGGGTCCATTTGCCACAACTGGGCTCAGGAAGGCATTTTACTTTATGGTCAGATTGCTACAGATTGTGGGCAGGGGTTACCTTCCTCTGTAAGCAGGGAGCATGGATCCTTGGTTCTCTCAACCATATTTTAACCTTTGACCCTGCACGCACACCCTGTTTTCTTATAAGTTGTCCCCCGTAATGTTTATTTAATGCCGGGAGCCCAGCCGCCTTACGCAGGTAGAGTGGCGGCCCCTGAAGAATTTTTTTTTTGAACACCTGCTCCAGAAAAGACCTGCCCGGCGACCAGCCGGGTGCCGGTAACACCATCGGCCACCGAACGAGGGTGGCCCAAAGAGCCTTATAGACTCATTCCGTTAACAATAGTACCATATTTTAAACAACTCTTGCAGCAGCAGGACACTGACCATCACTGCCTCCCTGCTTTACCTGGTTAAGGTGTTATGTCTTGTAGCTATATGATGGTTAATTGTGTAATTTAGTAATCAGTTAGACAAGGATTTGTATGGAATGCTTCGGATAAGGATGATCCTGCCTCAGGAAGGGGGGTTAAATTATCAGAGGTCTCTTCTAGCCCTACTTTTCTATGATTCAATGACTCAGTTTGAAAGGCTCTAAGCTTGGGAGAACCTGAATTATTTTATCGTTTTGAATTGAAAATATGAAAGACTTGAAACCAAATTCTAGAGAGACACTCAGGAAATATAAGCTTATGTGAATGAAAATCAAAGAAATGGCATAAACCTCTATAAAATGGAATAGAACTGCTGTGTTTGACACAGCTCTAGTACAAACCTGCCTGCGTATTATCACTTCTGATAAATAAATTGAAAAAGGTTTAGAGGTTTGGTCCAAGCACAAGTACAAATAAATGTGTTAGGTAGCTGCAGAAATCAGGGGGAGAAACAGTAATCCAGTGATGGAGAGACAGATTCATCTTTCACATTACCAGTGCCCTCCTTTTGCAGCTCCTTCCTTGAATAGCGCTGAACAGTTTTCAGCACCATCTCATTATATAGAACACTATAAAGCTGCATTTCTTGCCGTGTTTCCAGCAGGCTTGTCCCAGATATATCAAGTGACTGCCTTTCTTTCAATATTTGGAAATACTGCTGCAGAGGTAAGCTCTCTGATTTCTGCTGACTTGTATCCTGTATTCAAGTTAGGTACTGAATAAAAATCCAGGGGCCAGATTTTCATAGAAATGACTTACAAACACAAATCACATTAACTTTGCTTTTGAAAAGGTAACCTTTGTCTATTGTTCCCTCCAACACTGCTTCATACTAGTTCTCTTACTTTATACTTACCACCATGCTACTCACCTTTCCCAATTTACTATGGGTGTGTCCAACACTTTAAAGATAAGTACAATTCCTTATCTCCCTATGGCACTGTCATTTAGTGTTCCCTGACAGCCTTCTCTTCTTCCTTGGCCAGTGTTATGAGAGCTCCCTCACCTGTTTCAATCCACTCTAATCACTCATTCTGTGAATGAGAAGGATGCATCAAGATGAAGAAATTCAATGACGTGTAGAAAGGAGAGCAAAATGCATGGGCCTTGTCAGAAATAAAGTTTCAATTTTGTGCCTCTGACTTGTATTTTTCCTAAAGATATACAGAAAGATTTTCATATACACTTTTTTTCTTCTATTAGGGTTAAGAAACTGTAAGTGAAGTGAATCTGCAGTCATTCTACTGCCTAAAGCATCTCAGAAACCTGGACCTAAATCTGGTACATCCCAAAGGCCATGTCTACACAAGTTGTTACTGCACAGTATAAATAACTACTAAATGAATGCACCGTAACTGGAGTTACTGTGCAGTAGCATCACTGAATGGCTTTTTCGTGATGCTGACTGTGCAGTAGCCCGAGACTAGTGTGCAGTAGCACCACGCCACACTTTCTGCCACACAATGCTATTGTGCAGTAGTCACGGGCTACTGCGCAGTCAGCATCTTGTGTAGACGTGACCAAGGAGTTGTAAATTTCTATATAAGCTACTTAATGTTAGATCTGATAAAATACAGAATAACATATATAATATAGTTACCAGGTCAAGTTTCAAACTGTCACATCCCCCAGGATTTTAAGGGTAGGTATCTAAATATACAGTCCAGAGGTATTCGGATGACCTGGAAAAAAATACTGTTCAGATTCTCAGAAACCAATCAGATGGGTAATCCATCAAAGTACAAATCTCTGACATGTTTTGATTTCTGTCTCCTTGAGAAGGTGACTGGCTTCCCTACTTTAATAAAAACAACGTGGCTCAGTCATGCAGCGTTTGCTCAGAACATCTGAAGAACTGCAGTTGTTGCTATGGTCTGTACTACTTAGCTGAAAGCCTTTCATCTGTCTTCAATATACAGGGTTCAGTCATGCCTGTACGGATCTCAATGAGATATAAGATGCCTGCTACGAGCACCACCTATATTGCCAAGATCCTGAATGAAGGGAAAAATAATCCACAGCAGACTGCCTCAGTGTCCTCTGGAAGTAAAGAGGGAACAGGAAGAACTTTGTGCAAGGGTAACCAGGATAGCAGACCTGCAACAGAAGGGGTAGTGAACAGCACCAGGAAAAATTTCAGAGAAAGGAGAAACCAAAAACCAATTTGTGACTCTGACCATGGAAGTTCCATCCCTGACTTACTCCTGAAGCAATGTGACTGAATGCTGCCTCCTATATGCAGTGAATTGCAGGGTGTTGGCCCAGCCCATAGAAGTGGAAATGAGCTTAAGACATGGGATTCTTATCTACGTTTGGAGCCTGCCTTTCCCCAACTGCTTTGGTTTCAGGGTTCTAGTGCTAGGACATTTCTAATGAAAGACAGCTGTAAAAAATAATACCTTAAGATACTTTCTCAGCCAAGCTCTGACAGCCATTAGTGGAAAACACTCCCTGCTTTCTAAGCTAATGGTTCTTCACTGCAAGAGTATGTGTGTGTGTGTGTGTGTGTTGACTAATTCAGCATTTCCCTCTGAGCACTTTTGCTGCCACTCTTCTGAAAAAGTTTCCATGTCAACTTGTTCTGTTTGCTATTATCTAAGTTCTCCTAATTTACTTCATTACTAATTAACCTCTTCTGTAACTGGATTTAGGATTTCTAAATCTTATTCATATATCATTGCAGATTTGATTATGAATAGTGTACTTTTTCCAGTAAACGTAGAATGACATGAACTGTACCTGGATCTCCCAGATGTTGATGTTTATTGACAATTTTTTGGCTGTACTACAGCTATATATGCATAATTTAAAATTATTGCTCAAGGACCATTCAAATAAGTTCTATTCACTCTCCAGTGATTGTTCAGAGAACAAAAGTGGTAAAATTTTGAGGCAAAAAGTTTTGTGAACTGTTTTGAGCCATTGGGTTCACAAAAAGAACCCAGTACAACAACTACCTCAAAGACAGCTGCAACAAAGTTGTACTAGCATATATAAATTAGCACATAGAAAAGACTGTTATCTTCCTGAAACCACCCCATGTATTGCAGCATTGATGGCCGGCTCTAGCAATAACCTGTCCAATAAGGACTAGCCCTGGGAACTGAATTACTTCTCTACCCTAGAATGAAAAACAGGGCTTTTATTCAGTATGGGGGGGCTTGGACTTAGCTGAACAGCAAAAGGAAAATAAAATGTTGGTTGACTGCCCAGCACCTGGCTCCTGAAAACAGACTGTTAGTATCCAGTGGCTATATTATGATGATACAACATCATGGTGCCTCTACAGTTAAGGTTGTACTGAGATTTGCTCTTCCAGTAGGTAATTAAACTGTATTACAGTCCTTCTACAGTTTAGGTTGTATTGAAATTTTTACTCAAAGCCAGGAATTCAACCTTTTCAATTTCTATCATGCAATTTGTTTATTTCTAGCCCTTGCTCTCAAAGTACAAACTTTTTTTTTTTTTAAAGGTGCAATAAATCTGTTCCTTCCTTGTATGCTTTTTAAATTGGCTCCTTTTGGCAATATAATTTGTTTTTTTTAGCTCTTCCTAAGGAATAAATGCCTAATTTCTGAGGTTTGAAGACTGACTCATTGAAAGGCTGTAGCAAAATCTAATGCACAGACTATATTTTGGCTTATTGAATGTGCGTTTTTTATTTAAAGTTACTAGGCATAACCATTTTACCATCATCGATATTTTCACTGCTTAATATTATTTGTCTTACATGTATATATGTTGTTAAATATATACTAATTAATATAAGATTTCATCTTAACTACCTCAGAGGCAAAAGGTTCCAAATACTGTAACACCTTCAAATCCAAGCCTACAAAATTACAAAACAGTCTTGAAAAAAGAATGAGGGGCCAAGCCCCAGCTGCTGCAGGCTGGGCTGCCTTTGATGGAATGAGCTTGATTTATAACAGCTGAGCATCTGGCCTTAAGTTACTGGGACAAGACTCTGCTAACAATATGTATGGTCCCTGTTACTGTAATCAATGTATTCATCTTCACAGCCTCTCTCTGAGGTAAGAAATGTACCCTTATTTCTTTTCTTGCAAAGAAAATGAAACAGAGAAATGAAGTCCAAGCTCACAGAGGAAGCTTGTGGGGACTGAATCTGGTTTTCCCAAATCCCAGGCTAGTCCCCTGAGCTCTGTACCATCCTTCCCCCATTTTGCAAACAGCAACCCCTGGAACAGAGTCTCTTAAAGCATTTTCTTTTTTTCAGAATGAGTTGTTGCCTAAGTTTGATTGTATGCTGATGCTTACGATTAACTGGCAGTAAACAAAGATATGAATGCCTATATAATAACATAGCTTCCCTGTCTGTTCTTCGCCTAGTGAAAAGGAGCCTCTAAAATGAGATTGGAGCAAATAATATCATTCCTTAATCTGGAAGGTAAGATTCAGCATAAACTGGGAGAAAGAGTTTTGGTTATTTCCCCTTTGAGCTATGAGTCACTCTGAAAAATACAGAAAAGATCCATTTATGTGGTCTGACCTTGTGCTTACTAACAATTAAGTGTTTGTGGGCTCTTACTTGAATTTTTCTATCTGGTTATAAGTGCAATCTCTTTAACAAACCTAATGCAGTACCTTGCTGGTTATTCACTTCTCCACTCCATCTGTAAGGCATCACATATTTATTTTTAACATACATAGTGCCATACCCATAGTAGCACTGGTGAAAACAGTCCTTTTTAAATAAGACTTGTTTGGCTGCCTGGGCTATTTTGTCTTGTTTTATTTAGAAGAACATCAAACCATGTAAGATGTTTAAAAGTGCTAAATTAATTAAAGTGTCAGATGAATTAAATACCAGTCTTCATCTGATAGGTACTAAGAATATGAGAAGACACTGAAAATTATAGACTATAACCTCAACTACTGTAGTTCAGTAATAAAAAAAAGGTCTTGGCTTTTTATTCTCATAAAAGTCTATCAAAGACCTAAAGGGACAGTAGCAGATAAGAAATTAAATGGAACTATTTGGTAATATTTATAGCTTATTTAGACTAAACTGTAATGGATCATCATAAAGAAATCCCTAATTGGCTTGCCTTCTGTCTGAAAAATGTTCCCATAAATGTAATCCTATTTGAGAAGTTTTACATTCATTTCAAAAGAAAGCCATGTCTTATGTTGGAAATAACATGACTTCCAGTATCATTTCAGCATTTTGATAATACTTTTATATGAATAAAGATGTTCCATTTCTGCTGGAATTAGTAGTATCTAGATTCAATTCACATACCTAAAGATTTAGCTAACATTTCTCTCTAGAATTTTTTTTCAGAATACACCTCATAGTTTGTCTCTGTATTTTTTTAAATACTGAAAAAGGTGATGTGATTTTATGGTTGAAGAACATTCCTGGATTGTTGAAAAATATTTTTGACGTAGCTGATATGGAACCTTTGATCACATTAAGGAATATGTTCATTTGCAATAGTTCCCTAGCATTTATGTTGCCCAGCCTAAATCTCAGAAATCCACCAAGTAGAATGCACAGGCTTTGTAATCTTCCCTTTATATACGAATTATAATGTTCAATTTTAATATTTCCACACTAATTATAATGCATACAAGTTTTAGATCACTTTTAGATTACTTTTGATCTGTGGGAGGAAAATAGTCTCTGTACCAATCATATAGTAAAGAAATGATACTGGAATGCATGAGATATCATGGGTGCTCTTATTTCTACTGAGGTCTCTCTGTTAGGATTCAGAAATGTCTGTTTAAAGGACTTAGTCTGATGTAAAGCCCATTGCCATCTGTGGAAAAACTGCTAATCTTAAAGTGAGAGGACACTCAGACTGCGCAGTCTACTTTTGTATATATTCTAATTCAGGGTCTAGACTCAAAAAGGTACTTTGGAAAGTATGAAATGATTATTTGAAAGAATATGTTAAGAATACAAAAGGCTGCTGCTTGCAATTCCTTTTTTGGAATCTAGTACTCAAGGGACACATCTACATGAGATGCTTTACTCAAGATTAGAGGAAATTACTGTGCAGTAAGTGTCACTGTCTACACGTACAGATGCTTATTGCACAGTAATTTGCATTAATCTTAAGTAAATTTGCTACCTGTAAATACAAGTAACAAATTTACTTGGGAGTAATTACTGCGCAGTGCAGTGCATGTAGACAGCTGACTGGGAGCAAATGTGCTCCAGGTCAGCCAGGCAGCAGGAGGCGGGAGATTGTTCCCTGCCCTTAGGAGCTGCCTGATGCTGGGGTGGGCTCTGTCACCGGAGCCCAGTGGAGACAACAGCCCACTGTCTCAACAGCAGGGCACTCCTAGCCCCGGATCCCCAGTCACAGAGCTGGGGGCTGGGAGCTCCTGTCTGCCAGGGCAGGGAGATATTGTCCTTGCCCAGACTCTGGTGGCAAAGCCTGTCCTGACAGCAGGAAACTGGATGCTAGCTCCGTGCTCTCTATCAGCCCCTGGGCTAGCACCCAGGGGGAGCACTGCCCCACTACCTGCTGCAGCAGGCCAGTGCAGGGCTGCTGGGGGTGCAAGCAGACTGCTGCTATGAGCAGCAAATCTGCTCCTGCTTCTCTGCACATGTAGATGCATGCCCGTGGTGGGTTTATTCTAGTAAATTACTCTAGAGTGAATTACTCTAACTCTAAAGTAAACCACCCCAGAGCATTTGCACATGTAGATGCACACAAGGTTCCCATTACACTGTGTTAGTAAATGGAATAAACAGGTCAAATGCTGGAACACAGGTCAGAGGAAAAGTGTTGATTTCTCTGGTGTATATGAAGACCTTTGCTTGGCTTATTATGTAGAACATGCATTTATCTAGATAAACCTTAAATTGCCATTTCCAAATGTATCAGGGTCAATTAGAGGGTTGGGACCAGAATCTATTAGCACCATGACAGACATTTTGACAAGAACACGAAGCACAGCATAAATGCTAAAGCTTTCTGTAAAAATCCATAGCGGTCACATGTAAGAGAATAAAAAAGAGTTCAAAGACTGTTCACCTACCCTAAAAATATTCTGGTAGCCTACTGTCATTTGTTTAAGAATATAATTATGAAACACAGTCTTCAGTTTTGAAGAAAATCAGTAATCTGATTGCCCAGGGCGCATCTACACATTCATTAATGTGTTTTTGCTACTGCATATTAAATTTAATACCTCTAATGTGAGGTACTAAATAAATATACATTAGGTTGCCCTACTGCAGTAGTGTAAAACATTGCCCTAATGCATTCGTGTAAAATATTATACTGCACATTAAAGCATATGTGTATATGCACCCACAGGAAAGTAAAGCAGTACCTCAAAGATATAGCAACACAGAGCAAGTTTTGTCCAAGACACCACAGACTTGCTACAGAAACTTAAAAGCATAGACCACCTTCCCAGCAACACACTCCTAGCCACCATGGACGTTACCAGCCTATATACCAACATCCCACACCAGGATGGCATCCAAGCCTGCCTTAC